GGAGCTGGGGACCCTGACCTTGTTGATACCCCTTCTGGGGACACTGGTACTGGGGGTACTAGTTCTGAGGCGACTGGAGCTGGGGGCACTACTTCTGCGGAGAGCACTCCGCCTCCCCACCGCCACGACACGCGTTACCAGGCAGCCTGCCTGCGTGCGCGCGAGGAGCAGGAGCGGTTGGAGCGGGAGCGGCAGGAGTTGCGGCAGTTGGACCTACTGGATCAGCAGCAGCACCAGCACCAGCAGCAGCAGCCGCAGTAGCTCCCTCTGGAGCGGCTGTTGTTCCCGCCCGTGAGTGGCCTCCAGGCCCTTGGTCTTGCCTCCTCTCCTCCTGTCCGCTCTCCGTCTCTGTCCTACGTTTTCTCCTTCTGACGCCCGTCCGGCGGTCTGGTCTTCTCCTCCACCGCGGTCTCCTCCTCCTGTTGTCTAGGGTTACCGTTCCCGTCCTTGTCCTCCGAGTGCTCGTCCCTCGTCCCCTGTTACCGACCTCCACACTGGCCTCCTTTGTACCTCTCTTTGTCGTTCTCCTCCTCCGGTGTCAGTTCTCCCGTCTCCTCCTCCGTCTTCTCTTCCTGTCTCCCCTCCCCTTGTCTCCGACTACTACCGTGCAGTTCGCCCTGTTGTCTCCCGCGTTCTAGCGACCAGTGTCACCAACCCTCATTTCTCTCCGTCGTCTGTCTCCGCTCTCACTGCCGCGGTCGCTGACTTTGCCGCCGCCAGCCGCCTTGACTACAACACTCGTGTGGTGCCCGCTCTTCCTACCCGTCCTCTGTCCGTCGGGGGTGAGTTTGCCCTTGGCTGTGACGTCCTAGAGGACAGGCATTAGGAGCTGGAGTACCTAGCAGCCGTTTCTCCCACTCTCTGTGCCATGCTGCTTTCTCCTGAGGGAGACCCCGACGCCCTTGACATACCGACTTCTCGCACGTACCGTGAGGCAGTGTCAGGGCCTTGGGCCTCTCAGTGGAAGGCGGCCATGGACTCCGAGTTGGCGTCTTGGAGATCCACACGCACGTACGTCGACTGAGTTCCCCCTCCCCGGAAAAACGTAGTCGATGGCATGTGGCTCTTCAAGGTGAAGCGGCCGTCTCGATCACCCCCGGTGTTCAAGGCGCGCTATGTGGCGAGAGGCTTCAGTCAGCGCGAGGGAGTTGACTTCTTTCAGACCTTCGCTCCGACCCCGAAGATGACTACACTTCGGGTGTTACTACACGTAGCAGCACAGCGTGACTACGAGCTCCACTCCCTCGACTTCTCCACTGCCTTTCTCCAGGGACGACTGCACGAGGAGACCTGGCTGTGCCGTCCTCCCGGTTTCACTGGTACTTTCCCTCCTATGACTCAGTGGAGCCTGAGGCGACTAGTCTACAGTCTCAGAAAGTCGCCCAGTGAGTGGCACGACACTCTTCGCTCCATGCTTTGTAACCTTGGGTTTCGCCCTTCCTCTGCTGACCCGTCACTGTTTGTTCGTGACGGCTCAACTCCTTTCTTTATACTCGTCTACGTTGACGACTTGGTCTTTGCTACACCAGACAGGGCAGCTCTGGCTGAGGTGAATTCCGGACTGCAGAAGAGACACACGTGCACTGACCTTGGTGAACTGCAACACTACCTTGGCCTTCATATCACCAGTGACGGAGCCTCTCGCACCATCACGTTGATGCAGTCACATATGGTGCAGTAGGTCCTTCAGCGGTTCGGGCTTCAGCACTCCATCACACAGCCCACTCCTCTTGCTGTAAACCACAGACTCACCAGCCCCTTCCCCGACGGGCCTTTTGAGCCCAGTGGTCCCTACCCAGAGCTTGTTGGCTGCCTCATGTACCTGATGACCTGTACTCGCCCGGACCTCGCCTACCCTCTTAGTGTCCTCTCTCGCTTTGTTGGACCCGTGAGGGTGGCGAAGTACCTGGCGACTACATCAGGCATGGGGCTTGTGCTTGGAGGGGCTCGGCCAGTTGAGCTGACTGGCCTCTGTGACTCTTCTTACGCTGACAACGTGGAGACTCACCACTCGACCCAGGGTCACTGTTTCAGTCTGGGAGCTGAGGCTATGTCGTGGAGGTCCACACGGTCGTCGTCGGTGGCTTCGTCCAGTGTAGAGGCAGAGATCTACGCCGATGCTATGGTTGCTCAGGAGCTTCGCTAGTTGACCTTCTTGCTCGCTGACCTTGGTGAGCGACCTCGCACTGCTCCGACCTTGTTCGCTGACAACAAGGCCATGATTCTCTTGTGTCGCGAGCCTCGACTGGAGACCAGGGTGAAGCACATCGACGTCCGGTACTTCCTCCTACGTGAGCTACAGCGACGCAACCAGGTGCGCCTGTACTTTGTGGCCTCAAAGGCCAACACTTCTGACCTCTTCACCAAGGCCTTGGCGCCTGGTGATCACCTCCGGTTCTGTGTGCAGTTAGGGCTTGTTGAGGCAGGTCTTCGGTTGTTGTAGCCTTATTGCTTGCTCTACTTGTTGTACTTTGCTATTATGTATCCTAGTGAACTCTTAAACTGGTTTTGTGGCCGCTTGCTTGTGCTCGGAATTTGTGTGGTGTCTTTGAGATCCACCGTGAGCTTGCTTTGCTTCTTGCATTGACTGGTCCTGTGACCGTTTGTTCACCCTACTTGCTTTGATGCCCCTCACTTAGCCTATGGGGGTGTGTCAAATGTTGATATTTGTGATAAGTTGTAGTGAGGTGCTCCTTAGTGAGTAAAACTCAGTTAGGGTTTGCTATTTGTATGACCCACACTCATAATCTCATCATTCCGTTGCATTACTTTGAGACTCGCCTCCCGAACGCCCCTCGTGTCGCCTTCAGGTTTCACAACCCCGAACTTGCACCCGATCAAGCGCGCTCCCGCGGCCTCGACCTAGGTAGCCGTTCGCTATATCAATGCTAGGTCTCAATATCTGCTCAGTTGTTGTAATCACTTCCGCGATATTGCGTTATGTGCACTCTTCCTTTCACAACTCAGAACACTGATTGTCATGAGAAACATTTAACATTCTAGGTAATGTTCCAAAAAAGCCTTGTTACGATGAGCTGTACATGCCACTTTGACCATCGTGAAAACAAGGGAAAATATGTCAATGGTAACTTACATGGGGCACTATAACGCGTACGGTAACGATTTCAACGCGTTTGGTAACTCGCTTAACGCGTTTGGTAACTCGTTTAACACATTTGGTAACTCGCTTAACGCGTATGGTAACTATACACTAGCAACCCATCACGCGAATGGTAACTAGAAGAAACCCTCGCCCAAATTTACCCCGATTCTGGCTTTTCCCGCTCGCGTCAGACTTAATTGACGAATCTTGAAGCAGAAACCTCTGACACACTCTCCGAGATTCCGACACATTTTCCCGAAATTCTGACACACTTTCCGAAATCCTGACACACTTTCCGATTTTCAAGCTAAATGCAAAATCGTAAGTGTTTTAAAGACAAATATTTATACATAACTGATATTCTTGCGCTCTTTCCGCAAACTGTTTGTACTAAATTCTATCGTGCAGCCGGGGCAAACAAATCTATACACCTTTCAGATGGCAAATAAATTTGAGAGCATCAACCATAAACTCCTTGCGACAAAGCGTTTATGGTTCTTTTTTAATGAAACATGTAATTCTAAAGAGATGTATCTTTTTCACATGCAAAAAATGGCCAACGTTGCAGTAATTACAAAAGTAAAAGCCCCGAGGTCCTTTCGCGGAATGTATTTTTTTTTCATTTCGCAAGTTCGCAATCATGCTATCAAAATATGATTTTAACCATTTTTTTACGAGCTATATATATAAAAAAACAGCTCTAAAACTTTTCGGTCCGTGGTAATAGAACAAACGGGGCACTTCAAAGTCGCGGCGGGACTTGTTCAAAAACAATAAAACTGTGCGTAAAATATTTCAAACTCGATAAATTTCTTGATTTCAGGATCATTTCGGCGGGAGTTTCAAGTAGTTACCATTCGCGTGATCACTCGCCTGTGTTAAGTTACCATACACGTTAAGCGAGTTACCAAACGTGTTAATCGAGTTACCAAACGTGTTAAGCGAGTTACCAAACGCGTTGAAATCGTTACTGTACGCGTTATAGTGCCCCATGAAAGTTACCATTGACATATTTTCCCTGAAAACAACGGGGGCCAAGTTCGCAAATTCCCAATCGTCATTGGCACACCAATCAGACAACAGTGAGCACATTTCGAACCTCCTCCCGAACCTCTCGAGTGCCCTCGTCCTCCTAACCAACTCACACATACAACTGGATGCGAAGCGCACGCTCGGATCTACGAGATGGAGGGTGTGGGTGGAGAGTCCACGTATGAGATGTGATTGTGAACTACGAATGACATTTGCGCAGTGGGTGTGACACAAATTTTAGAATTTGGCTTGATGTTTCGCATGATCGTTGTGACACTCTGTTGCTTTGGTAGAAAACCGTCCAGACTTGCGAAGTTTGCGTTCGCCCTTACAGTTCTTCCGTCAAGATGCAGGAGTGGCTTGGCTCTTGACATTTCAGATTCCGGTCAGCAGTCAAGATAAAGTTTTGGACAACACAGTTTACTGTATTAGTGAGCTGTGAGCTGTAACACCATCACAGTTCACTACAGAGGTGTAGTCGCACTGAGCTGTCAAATGTTTGTCGCCCAGCCTGTGGCATTGCCCGTTTGGCTGGTGCCCCAGCCCAGGTCTCGAGTTACCTATAGAGGGGTGAAGAGCACTTTCTGTTCCCACCATCATTGCATTCGGTGCTCACAGCAAGTCATCCCCCTAACCTTCCTCCAGCTCGTCGTGGTGAGGATGTCTGACGACAATGGTTGCTACTTCTTCTCGTCGTTATCAGTCAAGTAAAGCACTCCAAACTGCATTAGGCGGATTGTCTGGAATTGTCGAAGGAATTTCATGTCTTTTGTTTTTCTGCTTTTTGGTTAATCTTCTTCCACAGTGAGGGTCATTCAGTATGTCGGGCAAACCTCATCTTATATGCGACAATGGCTCCAGCACGATGAAGGTGAGTAGCATTGGCATTGGCGATTTGTACGATGCTCGTGATTTCCTTCTAATGCACTGTGAGCCTGTATTTCAGGCCGGTTTTGCTGGAGAGGAAGGGCCGTGTGCTGTACTTCCCAGCATTGTTGGGCGAGGAGTAGAAGATCAGCATCGTGATTACTTCGCTGGTGATGAAGCCGTGGCCAAGCGTGAACTTTTGACGCTGAAGTATCCTATTCAGCACGGTGAGATTAACTTCGCTGCTGAATGGACCACGCGCGAAGTTTATTTCTTCTCGCTTGTGACCTTCGCGCGTTCTTGACTTTCCAGGTATTGTGGCGGACTGGGACGACATGGAAATTCTTTGGGAGTACACCTTCACAAATGGGATTCGTGTCGATCCAACGGAGCATAAGGTGCTTATGACTGAAGCTCCTCTGAATCCGGCGGCAAATCGCGAGAAGATGACGCAAATTATGTTTGAGACTTTCAACGTCCCGGCATTGTATGTCGCCAATCAGGCCGTGCTCGCCCTGCACTCCGCCGGTAAAGCCACAGGTACGTTTGGGCCTGTTTCTCCGCGCAAGTCGCTATTTACGGTGTGTTTCTGCAGCTGATCTCCTCTTTGGTTTCAGGTATTGTTCTGGACTCCGGTGGCGGTCAGACCCACGCTGTCCCCATATTCGAAGGTCACGCTCTGCCGCACGCGACTCTCAGATTGGATCTTGCCGGTCGTGATCTGACCAAGTACCTTGCTTCGCTGTTGTGTGAGAGGGGTCGCGCCTTCACCACATTCGCTGAGCGGGAAATCGTGAGGGACATCAAGGAGAAGCTGGCTTTCGTTGCCGTTGATTTCGAGCAGGAGGGCTCGTCGGAGCAGAGTTATGAGCTTCCTGATGGCGAGGCTATTACCGTCGGTTCTGAGCGATTTAGGTGCCCAGAAGCGCTCTTCAACCCGTCGCTGGCTGGTAAGGAAGGCTCAGGTATCCACATGATTTGCAACAACAGCATCATGAAGTGTGAGGAAGGTATCAGGCAGGATCTGTACAGCAACATTGTTCTCGGCGGTGGTAATACCATGTTCCCTGGAATTGGTGCTCGCCTGAGAAAGGAAGTGACTCAGCTGGCTCCACCCTCCACGTTCACTGAAGTGATTGAAGCACCTGAGCGGAAGAACAGTGCCTGGATTGGTGGATCAATTTTTTCGTCTAAGGCATCCTCCGAGCTGGTATGCTTTTTTTGCATTTTCTATCGCTTTTATGCCTTAGTTCTTAGAGCTGACTTGAGTTACCTTCTCGTGATGCAGATATGGATTACCAGGGACGAGTATGATGAGGTTGGTGTATCCGTTGTTCAGCTGAAGTGCTTCTAGTATTACGGTACGAGGGAACATTGGTGCCCTGCATTCCATTTTGAAGTTCCTTATGCACTTCGTAAAGGAAGCAGGAGTACTGATAGTGAAGGCAGTTTGGTTAATAGCGAGCCAACAGTTTGTCGGGACATTCTTCCTTGGTTGTGTCCACAATCGTCAAGTATAACCACCTTTGTGCAAGCACTGCATCTGCTTTACAATGGGGAAGAATCTTGTCATCCTTACCTGCAACCACAAAACCTGAACGGGATTTGATGAGAAATTGCAGGGGAAGTATAAAATTGGTGACAGGAATCATCCAAATTAGACCAGTGCAGCACCACAATGGGATGAGCAGGTAGTAGTTGAGACAGCAACACCCAAATATGGATGAGGGCATCTCCTGTCAGCTTTCACCATATGCTCTCAACATACTTTCCTGCATTCAAATCTGCCTTCAAACAGAAGTGTCATAAGAAGAAACACCCATTTTTCATTCTGTGAATCTTGAGTGGTTAATGCAGGGGACTACGTATGTGTTAATGGTAACGTAATACGAAAGAGATGCAGCCGGCGGGAGGGTTGGAGGCAGGTGGAAGGAAACGAAAAGTGTGCAGGAGGATAGAAACAAGGAAAATCTACCGTGCGTGACATGGCATGAGATGGTCCATGCTCTCAACCCATGACCCACGGCACCTGCCAGAGAGTGCACATGAGCAGCGGGCAGCCATGCCATGTGAGCTGCGCTGCGCCCTCTGTGGCCAGCATGCCCAGCCCCAGGGGGGTGCTGCGGATGGTGCCATACGCCTCCTCCAGCACGTCTGCCGGCACCGCCAGCGGCACAAACCCCGCGTGCCGAATGCGCTGCGCCCACTCCACCAGGCTCTCCGGGCGCACCGACCTCTGCATGCCCTCAGTGGCCACCATGTTCACGATGTTGTACCCGAAGAAGGCCCGCTCAAATGCCAGGATGTGGTCGCGGCGAGTGGGAGCTTCGAGGAGGGGGGAAGGCGCAGGGGTGGGTGGTGTGGGCTTCTCAGTGGCTTGTGAGAGAGAGGACATGCAGACTTGGGACCAGCTGGTGTCAGCACTGCCCACCGCGCCTTGTGCAAAGGGCTGTGCGTCGGTTGACAGATGGTGCTGCTGCTGCTGTGGTTGCTGGTTGCGCTGCTGGTGGAGTTTGGTTGGCTGGGGCGCGTGGTTGGGGGCAGGGCATGCAGAGAGGCCCTCGTGGCACTCAAAGAGCGCGGCGTGGTAGTCGAGGCAGTTGCGCAGGCGCGAGAGGAAGAAGGGGCCGTTGGCAGAGAGGTCAGTCTCCATGAATGCAAATATGTCCGGAGCGAGGGAGGCCACCCACTGGCGGGACGGAGGGACGAACACACAAGGGCAATCAAGAGGGGGTAGAGGGGAGGAGGGAGGGAAGAGAAATGAGGAGATGCAACTCACGTAAGGACATGCGCCTCCATGGCAGAGGTGATGTGATGCGAAACAACGAGACGACCGCGGAAAGGGAAGGAGGCTGGTTGGGCAGCAAGGATTGTTGTGCAGCACACAGCATTGCGAGCATCGTGCGGTGCCACGGCCCGCTGCCCCACACACGCAGTGATGCAACCACTGAAAGCAGGCAGCAGGCAGCGCACCTTGAGAACAGCATCTCTAGGGCTGCTACGCATGACAGAGCTGTCGTGGAAGTATTGCAGCTCCAAACAACAGCACACCGCCACCACCTCCTTCTCCTCTTCCTCCTCCTCCTCACACCCCTCCCCTTGCCACTCCTCAAGACCCCCCTCCTGCACCCCTCCACGCATCCTCCTTGTCCCACTGCCACCGCGGCCCTGCCATGTGCGCCGGCCCTCCACCTGGGAGAGGCTATCAGCGAGGTTGTCCTTGTTCATCGTCACCACGCGGTGCTCAAACCTCTCTATGCCCAGCGCTGCTGCCTCTGCTGTGAGCTGAGCTGTGAGCATCCTCCCCAGCTCCTCGTGCTTCTGCCGCTCACACTCTGCCACCCAGCACTGCTCCGCATTCCCCACCTCCTCCACCTGAACGTCTCCCACTCCCCTGCCTCCTACACCATCTGCTCCGCATCCCGCCGCTTCCCCCGCTCCCGCCCCTGCTTCTGCCGCTGCTCCTGCTGTGCACCGCTGTGTGCAGTGCTTGGCAGCTCGGCTGACACGGAGGCAGTTATCAACGGTTGTGATGCGCACGCAGCGAGGGGGGCCGCCAGGCAGGCAGGCAAGGCGGCGCAGCAGCAGCGACCACTGCCCGCCCAGGTACACTCCAAAGTCGACTATGTGCAGCGCCCCCCTCCGCATGCCTTCCCTTTGGCTCTTCGCTCCTGCTTCACACGCTGCTCGTCCCACTCCTGCTGCTGCTGCTGCTTCCCCAGAGCAAGAAAACTCTCCTGAGCCGTCGCTGCAGTGGCTGCTGCTGCTGCTGCTGCTGGTGCCCGGCGCAGAAGGATGTGTGGTAACGGGGGAGCACACGGGGGTGTCGTGAGGCGCGCACGGATCGAACGCAGGATAGCGAGCGGTGGTGGTGGTGCCAGTGGGAGGGGAGGGGCGAGAGGAGCGGGAGAAGGTTTGCAGGATGGCGGAATAGGCGGTGGCGTAGAGGAAGGGGATGAAGGGCGTGGTGGTGAAATACACTTGGCGCGACTGCAGCATGTCCTGAGATGCAAAGGGGGAAGAGAGAGAGGAGACCGGGGGGGAACGTGGTGGGACAAGGAACGAAAGGTTGGGGCGTGGTGGTGAAGTACACATGGCGCGACTGACTGGAGCATGTCCTGGCAGGGGGCAGCGCGCATGGCGACAGGGAGAGAGCAGGTAGATGGGAGGAGCACGTGGTGGTGGGAGAAGCAAAGGGACGAATATGAGATCGAGTAGGGAGTGAGTGGTGCGGTGACAACAGAGTGGTCTTCCCCTGTTGGGCTGGTGAGGGGTAGGAACTGATGATTCCTCAATCCCAACTTCACAGCCATAACACCCCCCCAGCCCCCTCAGCTTCCCCACATCTCACCTGCAAACGCCCCTCGCCTTCTGTACCTCCTGCACACCATTCACCTCCGCTGCCCCGCCTGGAAACGACAGGCACGGCACGCCCACCACATGTGCATGGGCGCCAAACCTACCATGCCCCATCACATCGCACGCGCGTCCCACACGCTAGCGCACCCCACAGCACCGCACCCCATCACATCACACCCCACCGCAACCAACCACATCCCACCAAGGCAACCACACCACACGTGCACTTGGCGCTTGGCCATGGGAGCTGGGCGGTTGTAACTTGCACAGTGCGTGCATGTGGGAGTACCTGGGAGAAGGCAGCGTTGTAGAGGCGGAGGGCGCCAGTGCCGTGCAGGCGGGTGGTGAGCGCGTCCAGGAAGCAGTGTGCCACTCGCTGCCCCGCCCGCCCCTCCGCACACGCCGCTGCTGCCATGCGCGTCCGCAGCCCTGCCACCCGGTCCTGCAGGGAGAGGGGCGCACGGCTGTGTGTGGGGTGGGGGAGAGGGGAGGGTTGGGGGGGGGGATGAGGGGAGTAAGGAGAATGCGAGCGTCGAGGTGTTGGGACCTTTAGGAAAGATGTGTTGTGGATGGGGAAGGGAGGAGATGAGGGTTGATGGGAGGGGAGGGGTCGAGGCGGTACAGGAAAGATGGGATGATACAATAGAAAGAATATAAATGGGTGCGCAAGAGGACGACACATATTGAAATGGATGGGGAAGGTGCGGGGCAGGGAGCGTGTGCGGTGGTGAGAGAACTGAGGGGAAGAGGGGATGAGGGAGGGAGGGAGGGAGGGAGGGAGGGAGGGAGGGAGGGAGGGAGGGAGGGAGGGAGGGAGGGAGGGAGGGAGGGAGGGGGCACTGACCATGTCAGCGGTGGCGATGGCTTCAGCGAGGGCGAGCACGAGCTGCCTCACCTCGTCCATGCCCACATCGCTCTTGCCCTTGTGCATGCGCGCACGCACAGGCCGGGGCACTGCCATGGGCATTGCCTCATGCGCAGGCACGTAAAACGGCATGTGCATGGGCATGGGCATGGGCATGGGCATGGGCATGGGCATGGGCATGGACGTGGGTACGGGTGTAGGCATAGGCATAGGCATAGGCATGGGCATGGGCATGGGCATGTTCACTGATGTGAAACCACCCAATAATTTGCTGCTGGCCGCAGCACCGGGCAGTGCAGTTGGCAGCAGAGAGTGGTACGCGAGGGGATGAGAGGCCGACACACCCTCTCTGCCCGAATGACATGGGAGCGCCTGGGAGGAAGCTCGTGTGTACGGAACTGCAGCGAGTGACGGCAGCTGCAGCTGCAGGGTGGCAAAGGGGTCGTGCGGGGCTCTGAGCATGGCAGGGGCGAGGGCGAGAGCAGGCGCGCAGCGGCTGATGTGCTCCGTGAGGAGAAACGGGTCCACCTCTCCTGACAGGCCGTCTGGACCCGAGCCTGGCAGTAACCACGCGTGGGGTAGGGACGGCGCCGCTGCAGCATTGCCTCCTGCAGCAGCAGCAGCAGCGCTAGTAGTGGGCTTAGGAGGGAAGGAAGGTGCTGCAGCGGCAGCAGCAAGGTGCTGAGAGCTGAGTGCTGCAGAGGGTGGGACCTGCGACACTTCTCGCGCCTGCACTGCCCGCCGCTTGCTGCCTGACTCCTCGCCATGCGCCTCCTGCACACCACCGCCCCCACCACGCCCACATGTGAGCCTTCCCCCATCACCACCGCCTGTGCCTCGCCCATGCAGGCCCGACGCGCTCTCTCGCCCTCCCTCCTCCAAGCCACGCTCCAGGCCATTTGCTAGACCCGCCTGCTCGTGCATCATCATCATTCCCCCTGCGCCAGCTGCTGCTGCTGCTGCTGCTGCTGCTGCTGCAGCGTCATGACCCGCCCTGCGCTTGGCCTTGGCCTTGGCCTTAGCCTTGGCATTGGCGTTGCTGGTGTGGCTTATTTGGCTGATGAGAGCTGCCAGTCGCCCTGACAGATTGGGCAACTGCCGCACACGCGGGGTGCTGCCACCCACTGCCTGCGGCTGCTGCGGCTGCTGCGGCTCCTGCTGCTGCTGCTGCGGATTTTTTTTGTTGTTGCTATTATGACTTCTATTACTATTACTGCTATTATGACTATGAAGCCACTGCTGTGCGCCCAACAGCTCGCCCACCTGCTGTCCTTCCCATGCACCAGCAGCAGCAGCAGCAGCAGCAGCACCACCACCACCACCAGCATCCCGAAACGCATCATCATCAGCAATCGCATTGCCATTGCCACTCGCACTATCCTCGCGCCGCTCCCTGCTTGTCGCCCCACTTCCCTCACCGCATCCCTCCACACGCGCTCCACCAAAGAGTCCCGCGGCAGAAATCTCCACAGGGGGCGCCAAATCGTGCACCTGCTGCACATCGCCTCCCCCACCGCCCATTCCGCCCGCCTTGCTTCCGCCCATGCCCACGTCCCCCACTGTATTGCCACTCCAGCCAGTCCCCGCACATGCCGGTTCGCCCTGGCCCCCTGGTCGCACATGCGCTGGTACGCAAGGCATCCATTCATGCAACGCCTCGTTCCCTTCTGGCGTCGTTATCACAAGCTGCTGCTGCTGCTGCTGCAGCAGTGGCGAGTGAGTCTCTTCCCTGTGCAACGGCAGCGAAGCCCACGAGGTAGACGCGGGAGGTGCTACCAACGAGTCTGGACGCCAGCACTCCCGCATTTCCGCCGCGCCTTGGCTAACTGTCGGCGCGCCGTGCAGCGGCGGGCTATGATCGCGAGCCGCAGCGGCGGACGGGCAAGGCAATGACACGAGCAAATCGCCTCTCCCGGACCCCGGATCCGCGAGCAGCAGGGTGCCGAGAAAAGCGTCGATGGGGTCGTCTAGACGAGCGCCAGTGAAGTTAAACCCCGCCGTACACTCCGCAGCCTCGTCGTGAATCGTCCCCGGCTCCAACGAGTTTAACGACTCCCCGTGCCGCGGAGACACAGGGTTTGCCAGTGCTGCTGCTGCCGTCATAGCACCATCGCCAAACGAACCTGGCGATGCGGCCAATAAGCTAGCAGCACCGCTGGCGGAAACGGAGATGGCCGTGGCGGGATCGGCGGCGGAGGCGGCAGGTGAAAATGGTGCGGACGACGACGGCTGGTGCTGCTGGTGCAATAAGTTTGTATCGCGATGCTGTTGTGAATCGTGTGAATCGGTGCTGCCGATGGGAGTCCCGTCCGACTGCGAGCCGTCCGTGATGGCGTCCAGAAGGTTCAAGAACTCCGCTGCCACGTCACTCTCCGCGAATAAATCAAGCGACGGATTCTCGTCCCATAACGTCGCAGAGTCGTGCTGCTGGCGAGAATGGTAATGAGCAAACGACGGGGACTGCGACTGATGCGACAATGGCGCAGCTAGGACCTGCGCGCCAAGCGGACATTGCTCCACCAGGAATTGGCTGCAGTGCGCGCCGAATATGGGCGCGTGCTGAGCCCACGACGACGCCATTACACCCTGCGAGTTTCCTGCGGCCTTTCGTGCGGCCTCCGTGCGACTGTGTGACAGCGTTGCGACCTCTGTGCGACCTCCGTGGGACCTCTGCGACGTCCGTGCGGTTACAAATGCAAATCTCGACGTTAGCGCTTCCCAAACCTTGCGCGCGCAATGCCCGTTTTCCACTTGGAGTCCCTAAAAACGGCCACTACGACATGCTACTGTCACGTTGGTCCTGCTGTGCCCTCGCACCACCTTCGCAGCAGCTCGTCTGAGCTTGTTTGGTGAAGATGATCACATCCTAGAAGAGGAAAAAGGGAAGGAGAGACATAAATGAAGGAGAAGGGAAGGGAGGTGGAGAAGGAAAGGGAGAAGGAAATTAAAACTGCCAAAAAATCCCAAACTCAACATCCATAAAAAGCCATACCCAATCAAAACACCCAGTCAGGACACCACACCCCATCAAGACACCCCATCCCGTACCCCATTTCACCCCCCCTCAGTCATATCTGTTGGGCTGAGAAAGCCCTTAGGATCGTTTCAAGGCTAAGACTCGACCTGATGTAATTGCTAAAGCGTTGTAACTGGTTGAACCACCTTGCACTAGTGTGTGAGGGCAAGATAGATTGATTATAGCGAAGTAATACAAGGCTTTATATGATTACAGGGAATATGAGAAGGCATAACTAACTGTTGCTGTTGCTGTTGCGATTCGATACAGCTGCGACTCGGGCAAAAGCTGACCTTTGAGCTTCGTTTAACCTCCTTGCTGTTACCTTTTGTTAACCTCTTCGATTGACTCGCTGTTGCTTCGCTGTAGTTTGCCTCACTTACGATTTAGTGCTTCGACACATCAGAAGCGCAAACTACATGTTTCCAACACTCCCCTTCGCTTCTGGAGTGTCGTTGCTGGTGACGTGGCCTTGTTCAGTCAGCAGCATACAGTACTCGAACTTCTGCTTTCCGAGTTTCTTGGTCAATAGTCTGCTCCCATCTCGGACGTGGGGCAGTAGGATAACTCGAGTCTGTCAGAAGACTTGCACTGGAGATCCCCGATTGATCCTTGGGGGGTTACAGACCTGTTAGCCTGGGGGGTCATGGGCGCACTGACCCGCTACTGAAACAAGCCCTTTTATCCCAATGGTCTAGTGGTTGGGATTTTGACATGGTATCAGAGCGATCTCGGGTTCGAATCCCGGTGCATGCACATGCAGGCCGTTGCCGCTGTGCCGAATCCTGGACCTCCCAGTGTGGGGGGGTGTCAGAAGACTTGCACTGGAGATCCTCGATTGATCCTTGGGGGGTTACATGCCTGTTAGCCTGGGGGGTTATGGGCGCACTAACCCGCTACTGAAACAAGCCCTTTTATCCCAATGGTCTAGTGGTTGGGATTCTGACAGAGTCTTCCTTTCTCGATCTCGTCTTTTACGAAGAAATATTGCAGGGCAATGTGCTTCGTTCGGTTTGCGAACCCGTTCTTGTTCGCTATGTGAATTGCAGATTGGTTGTCGTAGAAGACGGAGAAGTGTTAAGATTAGAAGCTAGAATGACTGCATTGAAAGGATTGTGGGCAGGGCCTCAGATGTCAGGAATTTTACATTGAATTCCTGAAGTTTGACCTCCGTTTTTTATCATGACCCTGATGCATCAGCCTTTTTTTTTCAACAACTCTGATGTTTCAGTGTTTTTTAATCTCGAACTCTGATTTTCCAGTGTTTTGTGTTTGAGGACACTGACGAGTCAGTGTTGTATCGGGGTCTACCCTGAAACCGAAAACTACTTGTTTTGGCGCCCCGTCACCGTGCACCTTGCACCAAGGGGATTTCTGCGAAACATGTGAAGAATGAGGAATGATTGAACTAGGAAAATGTTGGATTCAAATATGAAACCCTAGAAACCTGTACCCCTTAGTGTCTACCCCACTAGAGCCTACATAGACTAAATCATATATATCTGACACACCCCCATAGGCAAAGTGGGGGAGAACTAGGGGTCACAAGACCAGTCAAGCAAAGCAAGCTCAGGGTGGATCACAACGTCACCACACATTCCGAGCACCGGTTCAAAGGCCACAAGGCCAGTTCACATGCAGGATCATATATATAAAGGTAAACAAGCAAGAGCAGGTTTATATAGATCACAGTACAAGGAAGGTCAAGAAGTAAGCAAGTGAGGCCAAGTAGGCACAAGACCTAGCATCGTACAAAAGCGCTGATGATCACAAGGCTGAAGTGCCTTGGTAAAGATATCAGCAGTGTTGGCCTGAGAGGCCACGTAAGCAAGACGCAGTTGACCACGCTGCTGCAGCTCACGAGCAAGGAAGTAGCGAAGAGCAATGTGCTTCGTTCTGTGCTCCAGTCTGTGCTCCCGACACAAGGCCAGCATGGCCTTGTTGTCTACGTACAGAATTGGAGGAGAACGAGGCGGCTCTCCCAGGTCGGTCAGCAGGTAGGTGAGCCAGCGTAACTCCTGTGCAGCCATGGCCCCTGCGTAGATCTCGGCCTCACAGCTGGAGCCGAGAACAGAAGACGAGCGGGTAGACCGCCACGAAACAGAGCCGGAACCAAGGCTGAAGGTGTAACCCTGTGACGACCGCTGCGTAGCCAAGTCGTCAGCCCAAGAAGCGTCTGCGTGACCAGTGAGGACCACTGAACTCCGCCCTCCAAGCACGAGCCCCATGCCCGACGTGCTGCACAAGTAGCGCAACACCCTCTTCGCAGCAGCCATGTGCTCTGGTCGGTGTCTCCCAGGAGCAACATAGCGTGCCAAGATGCTAAGAGGGTATGCTAGGTCAGGACGAGTGCAGGTCATCAGGTACATGAGGCAGCCAACAAGCTCTGGGTACGGGCCACTCGGCTCTACGGACTCATCCGAAGGCAGAGCTGAGAGCGAGTGGCGAGTAGACAGAGGAGTGGCCTGAGGCGAGGAGTACGTGAAGTCGAAGCGCTGAAGGACCTGCTGCACCATGTGTGACTGAGTCAGGGTAATGGTGCGCCGTGCTCTGTCCTAGGTGATCTGCAAGCCAAGGTAGCTGCGCAGTTCACCCAGGTCTGTGCACGTGTGTCTCTTCTGCAGCTCGGACTTCACGTGGGCGAGTCCAGCAGTGTCAGCAGTAGCAAAGACCAAGTCGTCGACGTACACGAGGATGTAGAACGGCGGCAAAGAGGTGTCGGTGCGTAGAAACAGCGACGGGTCGGCAGTAGAAGGAGCAAACCCAAGAGCCGCAAGCGTAGTCCTCAGTGTGTCGTGCCACTCACGGGGCGCCTGTCGGAGACCGCAGACTGGCCGCCGGAGGCTCCACTGGATACCAGGAGGAAACGACCCAGTGAAGCCAGGTGGGCGGCGCAGCCAGATCTCCTCGTGCAGGCTGCCCTGTAGGAAAGCAGTGCTGAAGTCAAGAGAGTGAAGCTCGTAGTCGCACTGAGCGGCTATGTGCAGCAGCACCCGAAGAGTGGTCATCTTCGGGGTGGGGGAGAACGTCTGAAAGTAGTCAACTCCCTGCCGCTGACTGAAGCCTCGAGCCACGTAACGTGCCTTGAAGACAGGCGGAGAACCCGGCGGCCGCTTCACCCTGAAAATCCACATGCCACTGACGATGTTCGCCCCAGGTGGGGGAACCTCGTCAACTTAGGTGCCTGTGGACTTCCAGGAAGCCATCTCTGCGTCCATGGCTGACTACCACTGAGAGGAGTAGGGACCCTCTATCGCCTCTGCGTAAGAGCGCGGAGTTGGGATGTCTGGTGCATCCGGGTCTCCCTCAGGGGCAATCAGCATGGACACGAGATGAGGTAAAGCAGCAGCAAAATACTGGAACTCCTCCTGCCTGTCCTCAAGGACGTCCGTGCTAAGAGCACACTCACCCCCGACGGACGGAGGACAGACAGACTCAGACTCAGCAACAAGACTAGCAGTGTAGTCTAGACGACAGTGAGCAGCGAAGTCGACAAGCTCAGCAACTAAGGCAGACGCAGAAGTGGACTCAAAGGAAGGGTCAGTGACAAGAGTAGCCAGGAGACGCGTGACAGTAGGACTGGCAGCACGAAGAGAGTCAGACTCCGGGTCAGCGAGAGCAGGAAGAGACGACTCTAAAAGGAGACGGCAAAGGGACACGCAGTGGAGCAGTGGAAGGACGCAGTGCCATCTGGTGCGTGCCTGGGACCGCAGGAGGACGCTGACGTGGAACACGACGACCAGTGCGAGCAGCACGAACAGGCGACGCAGGACGAGACGCAGGCTCACGACGCTCAGCAAGACCTCCAGTAGGACCAGTGTAAGGAGAAGGAGCAGGCAGTGGGGTGGCGGGCTGTAACTGTGACTCGGACTGGACAGGCAGTGGACACTCTAAGGAAGGAGCAGGACCAGTAGAGGGCGGAAGACCAAGAACCTTCTCAAGGAGCGGAACGAAGTACGGCCGTGGCCGCGCAGCACCTCCAGAACCAGCAGGGACAGCACCAGCACCCCCAGGGTCGGCTCCTACTCCAGCAGCTCCACCAGCTCCAGGAGTAGCAACGCCAGCACCCACAGGAGCACTGGCGCCAGCAGCACCTCCAGCTCCAGCACCTCCAGCAGCTACACCTCCAGCAGGACCACCGGAAGACTCAGCAGCTCCAGCTCCAGCACCTCCAGTAGCACCCACTCCAGCAGCACCGCCAGCTCCAGTACCGCCAGCAGCTCCAACACCAGGAGCACCCCCAGGCCCAGCAGCTCCAGTACCTCCAGTACGAGCACCTCCGGGACCCGTGTCTCCAGCACCCCCAGCAGCAGTAGAACCTCCAGCTCCGGCAGCACGGCTCCAGCGCCGAGCAAACCACTCGCGCAGCTCCTGTGGAGAGGGTAGCTCCCGCCGGGACGAAGCACCCGAAGGACCTCCAGGCCCAGCACCGCCAGACTCCACACGAGCAGGCCCAGCACCCTCAGGCTCAGCACCCCCAGACTCAGCAACCCCAGGCTCCGCACCCCCAGGCTCAGCACCCCCAGACCCCGCACCCGCAGGCTCAGCACTCCTAGCAGCACCA